TGGCGAACGGTATTATTTCGGTCTTTATTGCATTCCCCTTGTTGTATTAATTGAAATTACGGTTGTTTCGACGATTTTTAAAGAAAAAATTCGACTGCCTGACGTTTTAGTCCTGGGACTAAACGTCAGGCTGCCTGACGTTTAGACACTCCGAACAAAGAAACTACGGAAACCCATAAAATGCGCGCTCAGAAAAAGCCGGCACACAACCTGCAAAAAACCCGCGCTATTGAAACTTGTAAATAATTCTTATTATAATATCAAAGAGGCAAGATTTTGCTGTAACTCCGAGTTTCGTGCTACGCACTCATCAGACAGTATTTAATGCGTAGCACGAGGCAAGATTTTGCTGTAACTCCGAGTTTCGTGCTACGCACTCATCAGACAGTATTTAATAATACTGTCTGATGAGTGCGTAGCACGAAACTCGGAGTTACAGCAAGATCTTGCTTCTTTGATATTATATATATAACTAGCTCTACACTTTATTTGTATTGAGCACTCTTTAATGGGATCAGCTACTTCCTCATACAATTAAATTTCTTACATAAATCTTACGCCACTATTACACTTAAATTGTTAGTGCTTATTACCATATGTTCTCTTAATTTAGAAGGTTCTAAAATTTCCTTCAATTTCTTAGGCCTTCTATAAGCCGTAACTATTCCGGTGGCTTAGAATAAGCATCAGTTTCAATTCTGCTATTAACTAAATGCTCAGTTAAGTCCAAAAAGTTCATCTTAAGGCTAGAATGAGTACACATCCCTATATCTGCACCAACACGATCAGGCTTAATTTACCCTGACTTAGCTAATCTATCTATTTCACCCATTGCTATATCCGCATAGCTACAAGCATTTTTAGGACCCATTGCTGTACCATGAATTTGCAATTGTGATGTATTCCTAAATTGCGAATCATTATACTTATGACAAATTTCAACAGCTTCTAAAATACACCTATTACGTGGGCTTCCTGTGGAAATTTAATTTAATTTAATTTATTCAATTTTATTTTATTTCACTTATTTTATATAGGTCTTTTTGTGGCTAGTGCCTCGTAGAGGCTCAAGCCACTATGCTATCGCCTTGTAAGTGCGTGTGAATGAATGTAATTCGGGACAACCTCGTAATTAGCACGATTCATATCCGATATGTTGCCGAGTTTATGTCCGAAATATTCCGTGATAATTGGGATACCTGTGTTTAATTACAACCTACCCACCCTCCCCATGTATGATTTTAGCTGTTTTTGGTTTCCCTGTGTAATTACTTCACTCCCGTACCCCGTCCTACCCCTCCCTTGCATGCCTCTACGTTTCCCCTAAGGGACCCCTCCTTAGTGGACTATTTGTCTAACGAACACTCAACGACGGTACTGTACTCTCCGTTAGTCATTCGGATTCACCAACAATTTATACTAGGAAATCTAAGTCCTCCGTCACATGTGGGATACTATCATGATATCCTATGAAGTTGTATTATGGATTGTACACATAAATAAAATACACTGGAAATACATTCAAATGGACAAAAAGTGAGAAAACTTTATCTTCTATTGATTATTATGATATGTACTGATCAAATTTGATCTAAATTACCGATACTTGACATCTGTTGAGAATTTGTACTGTCAACTGTAAAAAAAATGTAGAACTATTATGTTGGTCGGTTTTGAGATATTAAACAAGGATTTTCATATAAACATGATAAAAATGTAGCGTTAACTGATATCATGAGAGTCGCACATGCACAATGCGTCCAAGTACTGCTTCGTCTTGCTTCGTGTCCGATGGATCTCCGGATCTTGTCCGGGTTAGTATTGACAGCCGTTATCTTATCGTTGCCATGTGCTCTGAGCTGTGGTGCTGACTTCAAGCTATTGAAGTTTCTGGAGGTGAGTCTTCTATATTTGATCATGTTTTTCCACTATTTTACATCAATACACAGGCTCAACTTTCGCTGCCTCTATGAAGTGTTTGCCTTTAAAAGTTTTTCTAGGTTTTCTGACGGTTTAGGGTATAGTATAAAGAAAACAAGCGTCTCGAAGCGCATTCTGTTGTCTGGTCATGGCGAACGAGCGGTCTATCCTACTAAATCTAGTCGCTGTATCCACGAATTGGCGACCTTTACCTACTACCAAGGATTGTATTCCAACATGGGAGCAATAAATCTCTTGAAAGAGAGCCAAAAATCCTTTCGGGGAGCTATAATGCCCGTTCGCGGGTGCCAAACAAATTCCCTTCGGGGAGCTATGAAATCCCTTCGGGGAGCTAACAAATCCCCTCGGGGAGCTATGAAATCCCTTCGGGGAGCTAACAAATCCCCTCGGGGAGCTATGAAATCCCTTCGGGGAACTATATTGCCCGTTCGCGGGTGCCAAATTTTCCTTTGGGAAGCCAAAATTGAACTCCTCAGAGAGTACCAAAACAAAAGCCCCACGGCTGTAATACCTGAGACAAGTTGTGGTAAGATAGACAGCTCGTGCCATGTGACCTTAACAGACGATTTATCAAAAGAAAACGACATAAATTCTTCAATGAGTGCATTCATTAAAGTTGTGCCTGTTTCAAATAATTATCACTGCATAAATAATTCCAATGTATTAGAGCAAGTAAGCTTAAATAAAATAGAACCAGCATGTGTCAAAAGTCACAGACATTCCCGACTATATTCAAAGTCAGCTAATCGAAGGATTAGAGAAAGAGAGCCATCTCGAATCAATTTGAAAAAAATTATGGTTTTATTGAAAAAAAGAAAACATCGATGTAAGTATAAGAAAATACTGATACGATCAAGTCCTATTTCGTCTGTTTTACATCAAATTGCCAGAAATTATAAGCAATGGAGATTGAAATATACTCGCAGACAAGAGAGTTTCTATTCTTTCTATTTTATGAGAACCAGAATTTATTCCATGACATATAACACATCTGTGCAAAAGATATTATTGTCAGGTGATGTTGAATTAAATCCAGGTCCAAGCATGAGTAATAATATTCAAAGCATTTCATTTGTTAACCCAGATTTTGTATTGCACTATCGAATGCTTAGATATGGCTTACGCCCATTAGATGTTGGCGGAGGAGGTGATTGTTTATCTAAATCAATATCTCATCAATTATATGGTGATTCAAGTCATCATATGGAAATCAGAGCATTAGGAGTTAGATATTTGACTGAAAATCCAGAACGATTTATAGAAAGTGTAGAAAACACACCGTGGGCTCAGTATTTATCTGATATGTCTAAACAAGGTACATGGGCTGATAACATTGTCATACAAGCAACTGCTGATGCAATGAATTTAAAGATTCATATCATAGAATCAAATCAAAATTTCAGGGAAATGACCTTAATTGAACCGGCACATAGTAATTTGTTAGAAAACAGGAGATCGATATATATAGGTCATATAGGTGAAATGCATTATGTTNTCTGTAGTTGTTGTGACCAGTTATGGTACAGACATAGTGTCATTAATGCCAACAAACTTAGGCAGTCTAATCCTGATATCTCGCAGTACCTGTGTAATAAAACCAGTAGTATTGATAACAAAGAGTGGGTTTGTAAYACTTGTAGGAATCATTTGATAAAAAACAAGRTSCCACCATGTGCTRTAGCTAATGGTATGTCTTTTCCAGAAAAACCAGMTTTTTTTGACTTGAATGAATTAGAATGTCGAYTACTAGCACCAAGRATTGCTTTTCAAAAGCTAATGCAAGCTCCTCGAGGTAGACAGTTAAAAATACATGGCAATATTGTAAATGTCCCTGCAGAYGTGACTCACACAGTAAACATTTTACCACGCTTACAGAGYCAAACWGCTACCATTAAAGTCAATTTGAAGAGAAAACTACAGTATAAAAGTTCAGCATTATCTTTAAATATAAGACCACATAAGGTTGTACAAGCAGCAAAATGGTTCGTGACAAATAGTAGTTTATACAGAGATGAAGGGATAGTATTTGATAGTGATTGGATAAACAAATACAGTATAGAAACTGTACAATCTGATAATGAACAAGACAATAATGATAGCTTGCCATCACAATCAGATGAAAGTATCAATGTCTCCAGTAATGTCACTGGTGTGAATTTAGATGATAATGATGAATTTAATGAAGACAAGGTGGAATTACCAGCAGGTGTAACTGATACTATGTTAACTGCAACAGACTTTTTAGAAGATAATGAACGACAGAATATTCTTAATATTGCTCCAGGTGAAGGTAATAGACCATTGAGTGTTTTTAGAGATAAGCATTGTGAGGAGTTAGCATATCCTGGAATATTTCTTGGACAACCACGACCAGAAACTAAGCAAAGAAAAGTCAAAGTTACTTATAGTGATATTTGTAAGTCAGAATTAAGACGATCAGATAGACGAGCTGCCATGTGCATTGAAAATATCTTCTATAAAACAAAGAAGCTGCAAATGAAAATACTTTTAGGAAAATCACATATAGCTCTTAGAAAATGCAAGGGAAATAATAGRAATATKAATGCAGGGCAATTGAAAMAGCAAGGAGCTTTAGACCGACTRATTCGTCATGATGAAGGGTATAAATTTCTAAAYGCATTAAGAGGCTCACCTCCATACTTTGAGAAGGCTAAAAAGGATTTATTTGCWATGATAAGACAACTGGGACCTGCTACATTGTTYTGTAGTTTCTCATCAGCTGAAACYCAATGGTTACACTTACTTAGAATTCTTGGACAASTTGTTGATGAAAAAAAATATACTGATGAAGAAATAGAGAATTTTAACTGGGATGACAGGTGCCGCTTAATWCAGAGTGACCCTGTAACATGTGCTAGGCATTTTGACTTTCAAGTAAATCAATTTCTTACAAACTTTCTTTTGAGTTCTKCTRAACCATTAGGTAAAATATCTGACTGGTTTTACCRTGTAGAATACCAACAAAGAGGATCTCCCCATATTCACATGTTAATATGGCTTGAAGGAGCTCCACAATTTCAAGTTGATAGTGATGCAGAAGTAACCACATTCATTGATAAAATTATTTCATGTCAAAAACCAATAGATGATCCAAAACTGTTGAATCTTGTTAATAGACAGATACATAGRCATTCACATACATGTCGTAAAAATACAAGCAGTCCATGTAGGTTCAACTATCCACAACCTCCAATGAGGCAAACAATGATAATTCATCCTCTRGACAAAGAAWCAYCAGACAGTGAAACTAAAATGCATAAAGATAATTGGAAATCTATCAAAAGCTATTTGAATGACCTCAAGGAAGATGAAGATGTTTCAATTGATCAATTATTACTAAATTTGAATATTWCTGAGGAAAACTATTTACTTGCTATAGCATCATCTCTAAATACTCCTACAGTATTTTTGAAAAGAAGCCCTAATGAAGTTCGTATAAACAATTATAACCCTGCTTGTCTTAGTGCATGGAGAGCTAATATGGAYATACAGTTTGTRTTAGATGTGTATGCATGTGCTGTRTATATAGTSAATTACATATCAAAAGGTCAAAAAGGCATGAGTGAACTATTGCGACAAGCTTGTACTGAAGCTAGACAAGGCAATAATAACATAAAACAACAAGTCAGAGATATTGGAAGTAAGTTTCTTAATAATGTTGAAATAAGTGCACAAGAAGCAGTGTATATTGTCCTACAATTACCCATGAGAAAATCATCCAGGCAAATTATATTCATAAACACTTCRCCCCCAGATGAGAGGGTGGAGCTTCTAAAGCCAATAGATGATATAAAAAATATGGAAGATAACTGTGAAGAAATCTATACTAGCGGTTTGCTAAAAAGATATTGTAAACGTCCAAAAAAACATGAAAATTTGACACTAGCAGACTGGGCTGCATGGTATGATAATTGCAATATGAAACCATATRCAAAACAAACAAATGAGGTAGACATTGATGGCCTTCCAATGGAAACATTTATTGATGATAATCAGAATGATGATGATGATGATGAATGTTCAAACACATCCATGTCTAAGACMAAAAAAAGAACTAAAGCTAGGATAATAAGAAGTGTATGGTTTAATGTCCAGACTGAACCAGAAAAACATTATCGTGAACTCTTGATGCTGTTTACTTCATGGAGAAATGAGGAGACTGACTTACTAGGAAATTTTTCATCGTATCAGGATCGATTTGTGTCACTCTCCAATATGATCAAAGAACAAATGAAGCAATATGCTGTTTGCAATGAAGACTTTAATGAAATGCAGCAGGAAATGAGTAGAATAGAGGATAGGTATGATGAAATAGCACCTAATACACAAWGTATTGAACAACAAGACCAAGCTGAAGGTGATCAGGACTTACATCCTGATTTTACTGGAAACTATAATCTATCAGATGATTTAGGAATACCCTCAGTTGACAATACTGAACCACTCACAATGAATGAATTACCAGATGATGAATATAGACAAATGGTACAAACATTGAATAAAGAACAAAAAGAATTCTTTTATCATGTTTTGCATTTGATAAAGACATCAGATGATCCWTTTTACTGTTTCCTCAGTGGTGGTGCAGGTGTTGGCAAATCACATGTGACTAAAGCCTTGTATCAGGCTGCATTGAAATATTATAACACTAGACCAGGTATTAACTTTAATGAAGTAAAACTATTGATGTTAGCACCTACAGGGAAAGCTGCATAYAATATAAAGGGAAATACTATTCATAGTGCWYTAGCAATACCAGCMTGTCARTCRTTAAGAAGGTATAAGAGCCTTGATTCAAGTAGAATGAACACAATAAGATGYCARCTTGGTAGGRTTAAACTTATATTCATTGATGAAATATCAATGGTAGGSAATACAATGTTCAATGTTCAAATATATAATAGACTCAAAGATATCAAAGGTAGCTCACTACCATTTGGTGGTGTTAGTATTGTTGCTATAGGAGATTTGTTTCAACTACAGCCTGTGATGGATGGGTATATATTCAAAAACATGGATAATGATGAATATGGTGTTCTTGCTCCTAATGTATGGCAAGAACTTTTCAAAATGTTTGAACTCAAACAAATAATGAGGCAAAGAGAAAGTAAAGAGTTTGCTGAATTACTAAATAGATTARGAGAAGGTAATCACACTAAAGAAGACATTGTAAAATTAAAGGATAGATGTATTTCTGCAAATAGTGTAAGCTATCCTAAAGATTCACYGCACTTGTTCATTCAAAATGCAAAAGTGAATRATTTYAATGACAAAGCTCATAATGCACTATCAGGAACCAAATATTCTATTAAAGCACAYGACAGTGTAGTTGGAGCTGAGACACAAGAACTCAGAGATAAAATATTGAAACAAGTACCTCATGATCCAAGGAAAACTAAACAGTTGCATTCAATATTACATGTAGCAGTAGGGGAAAGAACTGAAATATCTCTTAATACTAGGACTGATGATGGTATGACTAATGGTGCTGGTAATGTTATTAAACTAATACAAATGCATAATACTGACAGACCAACAGGTATTATATGGGTACAGTTTGACCATCTTGATGTTGGTCAGAAAACCAGACATGATAAHAKGCAGTTATATGTWCAGGGTATTGAACCATCATGGACACCAATCAAACCTGTTACTACTCAGTTTGCAGTAGGCAGRACAAGATCTGTACAAGTTGTAAGAAAACARTTTCCATTAAGACCTGCTGCTGCWAAAACTATACATAGATCACAGGGTGATACTGAAACAAAGGTTGTAGTTAATTTTGAAACAAGAAGAGCAATTCCTCATATACATTATGTAGGGTTGAGTAGAGTAACAACTATTGATGGCCTTTATGTCACAGATCTCTGTGAAGACAAAATATCTGTCAGTGAAGATGTCAAAGCAGAAATGCATCGTTTAAGAACTGAGGGACAGCTATCTCTATCAGTAAAACCAATTTATAATGCACCTCAAAATGCTGTTAAAATCTGTTATCTTAATGCAAGGTCATTACATAAGCACATTAGAGATATATGCACAGACATGAACTATTCCAGTACTGATGTTAATATTTTTACAGAAACAAGATTTATTGAASTTGACAATGATGATTTATATTTGATGAGTGATGACAAATACAGCWTGTTTAGAAATGATGYTCCTGCAACAAATCCACATAATGTACGGCCCTTTGGAGGCACAGCAGTTTATAGTCGTCTTGATTATTATCCAGGATACCCATATTGTGATAACAGAAATGGCGTAGAAATAACAGTTTTAAGGTTCATGGTCATTCCTCATGTAACAATTGTAGGAATTTATAGATCACATGCAGGATCARTACAAGACATGTGCAGAACACTTAAGGATATTCTAGAATCRTTACCAACTGAATTTAATGTATTTATTGGAGACTTTAATGCCAACTGGTTTAATGATTCAAAGTGTAAACCACTGTATAATTTCTTTATCAGAGACAATGCTTATAGGCAATTAGTTACATGTAGTACTACAGATAGCAATACCTGTATTGATAATATTTATACCAACYTACCTGAAACACAATCGAGCTTTCAAGTTTTAGAAACCTATTTCTCAGATCATAAAGCCATTTGTCTTTCGATAAACTGTTTCAATACAAATTAATTTGATAACATTCATAAAAATGAAACATTAAAGATCTTATGTATTTTATTGACTATCACATTGATATACTATTTGCACAATGTTGTTACTTTCATCAGAAAATAACAAACTTAGATTAAATATTATAATGTTTCAATTTGGATTGTGTTAATATGATGATTGCTATTATTTGTCCCAGATATTGTTTGTCCCAGATTCTAACTCAAATCAAGCTAGAAATATATACCATGGCTAGGTAAGTATCTTGAAATAACATTAGTAAATGTATAATTCTTTTTTAGATACATTTTTTTTTTACTTTTTTTCTTTTTTTCAGCAAAAAAGTAACATCCAAGGAAAAAGATTCTGATGTCTACACTGAAAGTAAATAATAATTATATAGGAAGATATTTTCTTTTCCATATATATTTACAATATTAATGCCATTTCTTTGTTTCTTTTTCAATTGCAGCTCTTGAAGGTTATGTTCATTTACTAAGTCCAATAAAGACTGCTGCAAATTCTGCTAAAACGAACTATTTTGACTGCAAGCTTCAAACTGGGCAAGAAGAATCCTTGCGATTGGTCTGTTATTCACCACAAAAACGAGAAAGTCTTCAACAGGCATATATAAATAAGTCTCCTGTCAAAATTGTTGGTACTAAGAAGAACAGCAAGAAACGATTCAACACAGATATTGACGAATATTCTGTATCAAAATATGCAAAAGTTACACCAGCAGAAAACATACCTTTTGAGTATAACCAAACAGTGGGAAACCGATTGAAAACTGTAAAAGAAACCCATCAGTGTGATATTTATGACATTGTTGATCTAAAAGTGAAAATCATCACCAAGTCTGAGAACAAACAAGCTGTACTGAAAAATGACCTGCCAATCTACAAAATAGACACTGTTGTGGCTGATGAAACTGAAGTTATAAAATTAGTCTTATGGGAAGAGCTTATAGATTCAGTTCATTCTGGATTATCATATCACTTTCAAAACCTGACTGTTAGAATATTTGACGATGAGAAGTATGTCAACTCTAATGAAATGACTACCGTTACACCAATGCACGATATCCAAGTCCACATGGAAAATCCAGAAATAAGGGACAATTTACTGACAGGACGTTGTGCAAGTGTTAAAATAACTAAGTCAAGCTCCTGCATAGTATGTAACAAAAGCCAAGAAGTTAACAAAGAGGAAGAATTTGTCACCTGCAAGAACTGTGGGATGACCACACTAGCAGATACTTTTCAAAAAACTAAACTTATTGGTCAAATTTTCATTTTGACACCTGATAACAAGATGCAAAAATACACCTGTTTCACAGATAGTATCCAAAGCTTTTTGACAATTAAAAG